TAACCTCAAGGTTGACAGTTCAAACCCACCAGCCTCTCCTCAGAAACCCTATACAGGGCCACTGAGTCTGAACCAACTCAAAGGCACTTAAGAACAACACACCACTGCTGGAAGTCACATCTTGTCTCCTTTGCTGATGTTTTCCTCCACCTAAAGTGTTGGCTGCTGTTCCAACCTCCCAATTCTACCTACCTCTCACACCTCAGACCTTACCTCCCGAGCCAGCTTCTTCACAAAATTCAGGAGAGCATGACTCAATTATTTCATATGGTAAATAGGTTCACTTCCTTCCTAGATCCAACTGCTTAAAGACAGGGATGTATTTCCCTGCTATCTCCACTCTGAAGCATCCCTCAGTACATTAAACATCTTCCTTCCGCAGGATGGGTGTCAGTGGTTGAATAATACAATATCTATTTCATAGAGAAGATGGGAGGAGTTCTTCAGATAACATATGTGAATCACTTAGCAAAATGTCTGCCGTCTGTAGTTATTGTAACTATTGCTGTTGCTGCAATTACTGTTGTTTTATTGTACAGCGGATGTAGTCTAGGCTTTGGAGCTAAACAGACATGGATTTACAGACCAACTTTGTCACTTAAAAGTTGTCAGAACTGGTCGGGATAGAGGCTGGTGGAACCCACAAGAGTAGCCCTTAGTCCCCCTTCAGGTCAGTGGATCAATTTTCAGCCAAACAATAGAAAGGCCCATAAGGGGAACAAGTACACTAAGGAGGAAGGCACCTCTTACATTAATCAATCATTTGAGATCAAAAGGGCAGCATTTGTCCAAGGATAAGTTTCAGAAAGGTTGGGAAAGAAAGGGAAATGGAAACAGAAAGCAGGAAGTGAGTTACGTGATGTTACATTGTGGAGATTGCAAATAATGACATGAAACAAAATGTGTATGAATTGTTGAATGGAAAACCGATTTGCTCTGTAAACCTTCACCCAATTTACCACAAAAAGTTTAAACAAACACACCAACAAAACTTTTGTTTCTTTAACTATAATCAGTACTCAGTTGCTATAAATCAATCCCAACGCATGTGTAACCATTGAGTGTCAGTGTAGAACTGTGCTCCATGAGGTTTTCAATGACTGATTTCTTTTCAGAAGTTCATCACCAGGCCTTTCTTCCAAGGTGCTTCTGCTTGGATTCCACCCTCCAGCCTTTCAGTTACCAGTCAACTACATTAACCATGTGTGCCACCATGGGGTTTATAGTATCTACCTCAATACAAAATACCTGGCAAAAAGTAAGCAATACATAAATATTATTAGGACCCATCTTGTGCTCTTCCATGAGTACCTAACTTTGCAACCAGGCTCAATTTACTTAACTTCTCTGGTTCCAGTTTCCTTATCTATAAGATAGGAAGGTGGACTAGATGAGCTCCATGTTTCCAACTAGCTCTAAACTCCAAAATTGAACTCATCATCTTTTTCTCCTAACCCTATTGATTCTATATCCACAATGGAAGAGCTTTCCATTGATGACTGTTCAGGGTTTTAATATATATATATAAACATATCTCTTTCACTTTCTCACGGGAGAGAATATAGGCTCAGGACCTTCCCACAACTCCAGGGACCATGGGATGACTATGTTCATTGTTGTTAATTGACATTGAGTCGGTTAGACACATAGCAACCCTGATGAGAAGCCGTGAGTTTGAACCACCGACCTTGAAGTTAGCAGTCCAGCGCTTATCCTGCAGCGCCACACCAAGCCCCAGGAAGTGTACTTTGCAGCAGTCCCCAGGCCAGCACAGCTGAATACCTTCCCCAGGGTAGAGTAGTGAAGTCTGCAGAGCACAGAAAGCGGGAACTGATCTTCTCCAGCTCTCCTTGGGCCCTGAAACAAAGACTCTGAGTCGAAGAGTGAACAAGCACAGAGCTAGGTGAACATCACACTCATGATCTTTCTTTCCTGTTTTGCCAGACTTTGCAAATGGGCATCAAACACTTCTCTGGACTCTTCGTGCTGCTGTGCATTGGATTTGGTTTGTCCATCTTGACAACCATTGGTGAGCACATAGTGTACAGGCTGCTGCTACCACGAATCAAGAATAAGTCCAAGCTGAAATACTGGCTCCACACTAGTCAGGTGAGTGTCACAGGGTCTTGTTTAGTGTCTTATACATCAGAATTCCCAGGAATGGGAGGATCTTAGGCTAACAAATGACTAGTTACCAAAAGAACAAGGGTGCTGCAGACCTATTGTAGATAGTAGAGTTTCTATCTCCCATTCTTTCACTCTCTCCTTTAATCAAGCTACCCCATTGTCTCTCCCTTCTGTATAAACCTCCAGTGTATTGTTACCGCATAATAGTAACAATAGAAATTCTTTTTAATTTGTTGGTTTCATTTAATAGTGACAGTTTGAAGAGATGGTGTGACTCTTTTCTTGCCAAAATTGAAACCCTTTAAGTGAGTTTGAAAAGAGCCCAGGTGACGCTGTGGTTTAGCCCTTAGCTACTAACTGAAAGGTTGACAGTTTGAAGCCACCAGCTACTCCTTAGGAGAAAGATCTGGCAGTCTACTTTTGTAAAAGATTACAACCTTGAAAACCCTGTGAGACTGTTCTATTCTGTCCTATGGGTCACTTTGAGCTGGAATCAACTCAACAGCAGTGATTTAAAGGAGCTTGAAGGCTTCAACGTCCCTGTTCCCTTTAGTGTGAGCACCCCTTTCCCTGTTCTCTCTAATCCAGAGATTTGAAATCACTGATGCCAAGCCAAGACTCATCAGGTTATAGCTCTTTTGTATAAAGCAGACACTGCTTTACAGGAAGAACTGAATCTGTCTAGCCGACCAAACATTCAAGTGCCTTTATTTGCACTGTTTTCCCTGAAGGAAATTGGCAAGGAAGGCAGTGAGGCATCAGTTCTACCAATTTTGCCCCATCTGTCTGTTCTCATGCTGAACTCCCACTCCCACAAATCAAACCCACAACCATCAAGTTGATTCTAACTCATGGTGACCTCGTGTGCTATAGAATAGAACTGCCCCAGAGTGTTTTCTTGGCTACAATCTTTATGGAAGCAGTTTGCCAGGTCTTTGTTCTGCAGCACCACTAAACCAACTACCAGGGAGTCGGTTCTAACTCACAGTGACCCTGTGTAAGATTTCCAAGATTATAAGTCTTTATGGGAGGAGAGAGACTCATCTTTCTCCTGTTGAGTGAGCGGCCAGTAAGTTTGAACTGCCAACCTTGCAGTTAACAGCCCAACGCCTAACCCACAGTATCACAAGACCAATGCTGCTAGATGGTTTCAAATCGCTAAACTTTGGGTTAAGAGTCAAGTGCCAACCATGTGTGCCACCTGGGGACCTTTCTGTTAACACAGTGCTTTCTTGGCTTGGTTTTGTAGCTAGGTTTGAACATTGATTTGGTTACAGTGAAACCTTCTACTTCCTACTTTGAGCCCAAGAAGTATTTTGTCTCCTCAAACTCTCCAGTTCTCTTCCCCTCTGTTAATATGATTAGCTGAACTCTAAGGATCTAACCTTGTTTTGACTGCTAAGAAGTTCATACTATAAAAAACCTTTTGCTACACGTTACTTATGATTGTTGTTGTTGTTCTTGTTAAGTGCTGTCGAGTCAGTTCCAACCCCTAGCGACCCTGTGTAGGGTTTCCGAGGAGCGGCTGGTGAGCTTGAACCACAGACCTTCTGCTTCAAACCGACTTTGCAGTTCAGCGCATTAACTCGCAGTGTCGCACCAGGCCTCCACGTTACTTATGACAGCTCTTCTTTGTATCACAGACTGTCTTACAAGCTCAAGGCTTTTCGAGGCTATCAAATAACCTATCATTAGTGTTCCTGGTCTTTTAAGATTTTATACCAAATATTCATCTGTTTTGGGGGCATCCTGGAAATTTGTATAAAAAGGCCAAGATTTGTAGTGACCAGATACACTGTTAAGTCTCAGGCCATAGTTTGTCCCCTGCGTCCAGTGTTGTTCTAATGATCTCTACCTGTGAATCTGTTTTCTCCATCAGCGATTACATAGAGCGTTGAATACATCCTTTGTAGAGGAAAAGCAGCAATGTTTCAAGACTAAACGTGTGGAAACAAGGTAAGAAGAGATCAATGCCAAGTGTCTTAATATTTGCTAAAATAAACAGAGCTATAGCTGAGATTCCATGCTCAAAGGGGAACTTGTGTGTAAATGATTCTACTCTAGCCAGGATTGTTGTTGTTAAGTGCCGTTGAGTCACTTCTGACTCTAGCAACTCTGTTTAAGGTTTCCCAAGGAGTGGCTGATGAATTTGAACCACTGACCTTGCAGTTCAAACCGACCTTGCAGCCCAGTGCATTATCCCACTGCGCTAAACAATATCATTATAAATACATGCAGCTTCAGAAAGAAACATATCAGATAAGCTAAACAAATGTATGTACATGGTGGGCAGTGTAGACAACATGTTGTGTGTACATGGTTTCTAATGCAGCATCACTGGACTCAAACCCTACCTCACATAGTTATAATACGTGTGACGAGTTAGTCATTTAACCTCTCTGTGCCCGTAGTGAAGGAACCCTGGTGGCACAGCATTTAAGAACTTAACTGCTAACCAAAAAGTCAGCAGTTGGAAGCCACCAGCCACTCCAAGAGAAAGACGTGATAGACTGCCTCTAGAAAGATTTACAGTCTTGGGAACACTTTGGGGCAGTTCTACTCTGTCCTTTAGGGTCACTGTGAGTTGGAATCAAATCAATAGCAATGGGTTATGTCTCCGTTTCCTCATTTGTAAACCCTATTTCATATAGTGTAAAGCTTTGTAGCGTAGTGGTTACGAATCGGGCTGCGAACCTTAAGGTCAGCGGTTCGAAACTACCAGCCACACCGCGGGAGAAAGATGATGCTTTCTACTCCTGTAAGGATTTACACCCTCGGAAACCCTGTACAGGGTCGCTATGGGTCGGTCGGAACTGACTCGATGACACTTAACAACAACAACAACAAAGCTTTGAAAACAAAGCAAATCCTTAACAAATGTTAATCAGTATGATTATGAGGAATTCTCATTCTTCACAATGTTGTCTATAGTTTGTTATGATCCACACAGTAGAAAGCCTTTGTATAGTCAATAACACACAGGTATACATCTTTCTGGTATTTTCTGCTTTCAGCCAAGATCCATCTGATGTATTTGTTTATTGTTGTTGCTGTCAAATGCCATTGAGTCAATTCCGACTCATAGCGACCATGTATAGGGGGGTCCAAGGAGCAGCTGGTAGGTTTGAACCACCGATCTTGTAGTTAGCAGTCCAAAACTTTTCCTACAGCATCACACCAGGACTCCTTAGCATACTCAGCATGTGATTTCTAAGTTTTCATTTTTATCTTTCAGCCCACTGGGCTTTTTGTTTGTTTTAAAACTTTGTATTTTTGTATTAAGGGAAGGTTTACAGAGTAGATGATCAGTTTTACATTCCACAAATCATATACTTGGCTTCCTCTCAATGATGGCTCTCCCCTCCAGGTAACAGCAGTTATCCCACTTCCTCCCTGTGGTTCTTATTTCCTGTCCACCCTCCTTCCCCACCCTCCTGAAGTCTGTCCTTAGATAAAAGTTGTCCTTTTGATCTTGAATGATTGACCATTCCATGATGAGCACAGCTTACTAGGACTGTATGCCTCTTGAATCTGTCCACCATTTGGCTGAAGACTGGGCCACAGAGGGTGAGTTGTTTCAGGCCTGGAGGATGGCCAAGGGCAGGCAGGGTTCCTCCTGTCTATTTCTGACCAGTATGCCTCGTTTTTTTTTTTTTTTTCTATAATTTTGAGTTTGTGTCACAATTTCTCCCTCCCTATCAGGGCCCCTATAATGTGATCCCTTTCAGAGCAGTTGGTAGTGGTAGCTGGACTACATCATGTTCTTCTGGTCTCAGAGTGATGGAGACATTGGCCTAATCAATTCCAGGCACCTTCAGCTTTCATCACTCTTCTTTCCTCTGGACACAGAGAGACAAATCGCTGCACCTTAGATGACGGCTCATTGGCTTCTAAGATCTTCACTGCATTCTTGATACACAGCCTCCCTTTTCCTTTTCCTCTCACCATGTAAAGCATACCACAAAGATGATTGTTTTGAAACTCAGTTGAAAAATAAAACGAAGATGTACGACTGGAAGAAAATAATGGTTGCATCTTCCCCTTGATTGAGGTCTAAGTCCAGGAGAGCTATAAATGGGCCCATTATAAAACTTTTGCCCAGCCCTAAACATGAACACCTGAAAACTGAGTTTTAGTGCACCCTACTGATATGTATGAGAAACGAACTCTGAGAACTGTTAAAGAACTTTAGGGTGGCTTAGAGTTTGTGTATTTTAATGGCTTGGGGCATGCTTTTGCAGTGTAGGAAATCAATATTTATTTTCAAAACAATAGCAAGTTGCTCATGAATCTGAGTCAGCTGGGCAGTTGGCTTGATCTGGGACAGGCTTGATTGATATTATCGATGTAACTGAATGAAGACTTTAGTATTCCTCCCTCTTTCCTTTCTCGTCACTCTTCCTCCTGGCAAGAGTAAGAGTACAGGAACAAAAATACAAGAATTTAATACAGTGATTCTGTTTTCCCGGTGGGAGATTTCAAAGTGGTGATGTCCTCTGCCTTCTCCACTACCTTCTGCTCATCCTCCTTTAACAAGACGAGAAGCAATAACAGCTGCGTTGTTTCGGGCCTCTTATCTGTTCTTGTAGCAAGAAATTCTTGTTGCATCTAACTGTAAAAGTGTATTTCTGCAGCAAGACCTGCCTCCTCCTGTGCCTATCTAGCAATAACTCTTTGCTGTCTACAGCCGTCTCCCTGTGATGGTGGTAGACGGCAGCACACTAGCCTGAAAGGGAATTGCAAATCAGTTTCGATTTGACTTTCATTATCCCAGCAAGAACTTAAGGGCTTTCTTGGGATTTTTTTAAGCTTCAGACCTGACCTGTCATTTTCAACCCATGTAATGCCGTCTCGATAATAGGAAACTTACCTGAAACCTACTGCCTGAATGCTTACATTCTCCCCTAACACAAGTAGCAAACATCAGGGTGGTCCTGTGGGATTAAGCATGAGCCATATTATAAGATCTAACCACAGGCTCACGCATACAGTCCAACAGCTGAATAAACACATTTTCACTTTTACGAAAGCACCATCTTTATGGCAATAGAATGTCTCAAGGCAATGCTTCCTTCTGAGCCTCATTTGAACGAAGGGAATAAAAAGTTCATCACAAAAGAATGTGGCATAGTTGTTCCACCAGCCCTTCAAATAATACAGCCATTCCAGCTTCAAAGCAGCAGTAAGACTTGATAAGATCATGAACTTCAGCTGAAAAGAATTTTATTAGCTCCTGCTGGCCCTTTGTTTGGTAGGGTGGAAGGTCAGAGAGAGGAAGTCCCCCAGTGAGAAGGATTGGCTAGGTGGCAGCATTGATGGATTCAAGGGTGGCAACAATGGTGAGGCTGGCCCAGGATCGGGCTGTGTTTCGTTCTGCTGTGCATAAGGTCGCTATGAGTTGGTACCGACTCAATGGCACCTAACAACAACAATTGGCCCCTTGGCACTCTAGCTGGCAGTCTCTCCAGGACTTTGTTACTTCTTCATTTCTAAAGTGCAGACCAGCTTCACCTTTTTCATACAGGAAATGGCTAACAGATGGTGAACAGCACTTTGGGAAGTGCAGAACGGAAGGTAAATCTAAAATATCTCTTTGTTTCCTAGGTCCAATGTGGGATCCCGTCAGCTTGCCGTGTGGAATACTTCCAACCTGAGTCATGACAACCGGTGCAAGTACATCTTTAATGATGAGGGAGGCCAAAATCAGGTGGGCCTCCGGACCCACCAGGACATCCCTCTCCCTCCTAGAAGAAAAGAGATCCCTGCCTCCCTGACCACCAATGGGAAAGCAGATTCCTGCCAGGTAGCTCGGAACTCAGTGATGCAAGAACTTTCAGAGCTTGAGAAGCAGATCCAGGTGATCCGCCAGGAGCTGCAGCTGGCTGTGAGCAGGAAAACAGAGCTGGAAGAATATCAAAGGACAAACCGGACGTGTGAGTCCTAGGTGGTCACCAGCTCCCCTTTCTGCAGTTCTTGAGGTTCCTCTGAGCCCTGGAGACACTTTGTAATGCTCTTTTGTAATTACTGACAAAGGTGAGGTATGTTGAGGTCTAGGTCTTCTTAGAGGTCAAGTCAGCTGTCCCTATTCTAGAAAGCAGCCGTAACTCTTCCCAAGCACAAGGCCTCCAGGCGTTGAGTCTTTTTCATAGCAGAAATATCAAGTCACCAGTAAGGGACCTGAAGGAGCCCTGGCGGCACTGTAGTTTAAGTGTTCAGCTGCTACCCAGCAGCTACGTGGGTGGAAGACGTGACAGCCAGCTTCTGTAACGATTTGGAAACATCATAGGGCAGTTCTACACTGATTGATAGGGTCACTATGAGTCAGAATAGACTTGCAATGGCAGTGGGTGGTTTTGTTTTATGAAGGGACTGGACTAGGCAGTTCCAGCTCCTGATAACCTTTTCACCAGATGACATAGTAGTATTTCTGGAGTTTAGCCCTTTCTCTACACTATCAACAAGACACAGAATTGTCTTTCCTCCCTCTGTCTTACTAGGTTGTTGGCTTTTATCTTAAGATATAACAGGATTAACCCAGGTTGTGGTTCTTGTAAAAAAAAAACTCTCCAATCTAGATTTGTCCCTAGATTCTGAATGGGGGTGTAGAGCAAGAGCTAGAGAAACTTAGGATAGAGGGGTGGTTACTTATCAAATTAACGGAACTCATTAGTATCATCGCAGCCTGAGCCATGATATTGGTAAGATACTGGTGTCCCTGATTCCATCCCAGTTTAATAGGATTATGTTTACATGCCAGTATGAAAGGGGACTGGGACATGATGAGTGGGAACAGAGGACAGACAGAAGAGGCATTGAAATGTATATCATACTTTGAGAACAAAAGCTAGGCACCAGAGAGGCAATTTGGTTAAGGATTCAACAGGACTGTTCCTTGTAAACTAACTCAGCATGTTCACTATAGTGTGTGCCTTTTACAAAGGAAAATAAAAGAGAGAGAAACAAAGTAAGGATATGGTTTTAGCATGAAACTGAAATATCAGTGTTATTGCTTATGACAGGACATATGAGCCAACACTGTGGGTTAAGTGAAAATGTTCTGCAAACCATAGACCAGACCTTGTTCAGATCAGCAATCACCTGTCTCTTAGCCTCAGGCGCCCCAGAAGTGAACCTCAAGTCTGAACATCACAGGCTTTAACATCCAGGAACCTGTCCTGTGCTTTTCTTATCTGTATTGACAATTTCCAGACCAACCTCCCATCTTACACCCACCCATCTCCAGGACGCTATGAATAGGTTTTGGTCCCTCTGGTTATCTTCCAGGCCCCATCAAAGCCCCTGAAAGACTGAAATAAGTAACCCAGCTTACCCCCTGCTTAAGCAGCCCTTTTCCCACTGCAGAAAGGAAATGAACTATGAGAACTCTAGAACTGCAGTTCCCAAATGTTAGTGAAGGCAGGAATCCCCCAGGGAACTCATTAAAATGCTGATTGCCAGGCCCCTTCCCAGAGATTATTGGGGGGCAGAGAGAGGGAGTAGTGGAAGCAGGTTCAGAAATCTCCTCATAACATCCTTTAGATGACTGATATACATGGTCCAAAAATTACTCAGTAAGAAATTCTGTTCCGGAAGTTTGACTGTACTAGGCATAGGGAGAATTAGGGACAGAGAACTTTTTAAGAGTTTTTTGTTTTGTTTTGAACTTAAACATACACTTGTAATTCACCTTCCATCCTGCTATCCCTCCACAGAACACCATTAGGACTAGACTTACTTGCTCATCAATTACTCCTTTATCTTTTCAGTACTCTTGCTCCAGCCACCCCAATGAGTTCAGCACTGTGCTCGCTAAACAGCTGCAGATAATTGGGTATTTCTACCCCGATTTTGGGGCTCAAACATAGGAACGTTGTGAGGATGGTGCAGGATTGGACAGTGTTTCGTTCTGTTGTACACAGGCTCACTATGAGCCAGAACCTACTCAATAGCACTTAACCACCACCACCACCTTTGGCTAAAGGAGCCCTGATAGCACAATTGTTAAGAGCTTGGCTGCTACTTGGAAGGTCATAAGTTCGAACCCACTAGCTGCTCCACAAGGAAAAGACTTAATGACCTGTGCCCACTTAGATTATAGCCTGGGAAACCTTGTGGGAGCAGTTCTCCTCTGTCGTGTGGGGTCACTATGAATCAGAACCAAGGCCATAGACACACAACCGCCACCACCTCTGGATACAATGCATTTTCACCTGTTCCTGCAGGGAAAGATAACACTTTAAGCTGTAATTAAGATCACATCTTAGCAATTAATTAATTGAGAAAACCAAGGTGGAACTGGGCACAGAGGTACTGGTAAGATGGGGGCTCTAAAGTCCAACTCCAACAACCTGTTCCCAGGGAGGGAGACAGGTCAGCACTAGAAAGAGAGATGGAAATTCTCCTTTGAAATACCCATCTCCCCATGCTCCCATCCCAGGTCCAGAAGTTGTTTTGCAACTGCCTTTGAAAGATGATGCCCCTTAGCCGTCCCCACTCATCTGCAGCCACTAAGGATGCTGTAGAGACACTGTCACCCTCAGGCTCTGCACACCCCCTAAACTGGGAAACTGATGTACATATGTACCTCGATTCACGTGACAGCCATGTTCCTGAGAAGTTGTACGGACATTTTTATACATCCAATCAGATTCTGGCTGTACTTGAGAAGCTGGCTATTTAAGGGACCCCAGAGGTGAATTCTTTTGTAAAGAATCCTTTTGTAATGCAATTATTTATCCCTTAACGTATCTGTTTTGTAAGTTTGGATTTTTGTATATTGGGTTTACCTTAAGTTTCTCTACTGAGGCATTCTGAGCAGCGGTGCTCATGTGCACGACTGCAGTGCCCGTCCACAACATAGATGACCAGTGCATGTCTCCTTGAGTCTCCTGGCCAGGACTCCACAAGCAGCAGCAGGGGGCACTGCCTTCAACATTGCTTGAAATGCCTCCATGTTCTGGGTCAAGAAGAACAAACCAAGATTGCTTGTGAAGTGAAGCTGTCTTCATGTTAAATAGTAATGGTTATTTTTAGTTATTGGACAGTGTTTTGCAATTTGTGAAACAGTGTGTTGTGCTTTGTAAAAAAAAAACTACAATTCATGAAATGGTGGGTCCTTTGAAAAATCTTTCTGTTCTGCTCCACCTATTTTCTCAACTCCCTTTAGCTCAAAAAAACTAAAGATCAGCACAGGTGGAGGGTGGCATTTAGTTAAAAAAAGAAAGAGAAAGGATGCTATTCTTCTGTGGACTACTATTTCACAATCAGGAAGGTCTGGATGCCTTTCCAAGCTCTGGTGCTTGGAAACCTGGACCACGACAATGGGACTGTCACACACACACCGGGGAATTTCTAGCACAGGGTATGGGATAGAGTATGACTGGGTGAGCTGAAACAGGTACAGCTAATTGATTCATGTAAATAACAATGAGAATAATGGTGTGTATACTTCAAGGTAGAGGAGAAAGGGGATCCCACTCAGAATTAAACATAAGAGGAATGATGAGAACAGACAAGTGAGGCAACCACAAAGACCCACTCAGTTAGGGGCTTTAATGTGCCTAGAGGGGATTCTCCCCTGATTCATGGATATTGCTGTTGCGTAAACCCTAAATAGAAGCTGATGCTTCCATTCTAAGTGGAATAGTTGTCAGAGAGAACACAGCTTTATCATCTGGGTAATAGAGTTCTCAGAGTTGGGGCTAGTAGAGGCTTGGAGCAAGTAAACACTTTTTTGCTGTGATCAAGAATGAAGGGGTAAGAAACTTAGAGTGTCTCTTTCTCCCACCTCATATTTTTGAGAGTAAATCTATTCCACCTTCAGAAGAAATTGCTTTCTTATCATCAAAACCACTTCCCTGTGTGCAATGTTTTGTTACTATATACCTTTCTTGACCCACCTAAACTAGCCGCGTAATCCCGGATTCCTTCAGTATTTTTTTTCAGTTACTAATAATTTTATGAAAATAACTTATAGGTATTTTCTTCGAGTTGGTGAAGAATATTTGCATTGTGTCTTCATTCTACTGTGTTTGCAATTGCTACGCTCCAGGAAGAACTGAGATGCTGTCTTGTGAGCATGAAGTGATCGGGCTGTTTTGCTCAGCCACTTTCTTGTATAACACATGGATGGACTAGATGTCCTCAGGTCTTTTCCATCTCCAGTTTCTATGACTGTGGAATAAATGTTCAGACAGAAACTTCACTTTGGATGTACTGCTGGCATTGACTCTGGGGTTTCACATATTGATATGGTTTCAGGGTCTTCTTAACAGGAAACTTCTGATGTGATCACTGATGTTCGTTTCCTTATTATAGACCAAAGAAGTGGCACACGTCACATGGAGAAAAATCAGAGCCCGGGTATCATGAAATCGATTTGAAACGACTTAATCTGAGGGCCAAGTTCTAGGAAAAGCCACAATATGAAGAGATTTCTGAAAAACCCTGCCTTGAGCACCCTGTTAGTAATTCAGCATTTGCTAAGCACCTTCCATTTACATGCCAAGTGCTGGACACCTGACAGTGAACAAGATGACTATGGTCTCTAACCTCCAGGACCTCACAATCTCACCTTTACCTGACTTGTAAATAAGCAACATAAAAACTAATCTTTACTAAACACTTACTATAAATCTTGATCTAATTTAATCTTCATAACAACTGCATGAGATAGGCAATATTACTACCTCTAATTTACAGATGTAAACACCAAGGGTCACAGAAATTATGTAACTTACCTAAGGTAACACAGCTAGGTACAACAGTTGTTGTAGTTAAGTGCCTTCGAGTTGGTTCCAACTCACAGTGACCCTTTATAGGGTTTCCAAGAAATGGCTGGTGAATTTGAACTCCCGACCTTGCAGTTCAAACCAAGCCTGCAGGCCAGCGCATTAACCTGCAGCGCCACCCCAGGACTCCCAAAGTAGAGATGTGTAATACTGCAAGTGCCATTCCAGAACGAC